TTATATTATCACTATATTCTTATATAGTGATACCTTCAGGGACATCTGTATACAAATACCTACTTATTCCCACTATGAATGGACCCAGGCTCCTATAGTTTTCTAATTTTGTATTTTCTTTTCCTCTCTATCAATCTGCTGGCTGCATTTTTTTTTGCTTCTGTCAGTATTCTTGCCTAAAAGCAATCATCCTACCCCTTAATATATACACTAATGGCTTGCTGATTTAAGGTGTTTTCTGCTGAGAAGATAAACTTTGAATTTTATTTAAAATAAAAGATAACAGGCAATAAAAAAGTTCTTAAAATATCTTCAGTGGAATTAATTTTAAGAGAGCTGTTTCTTTTCTGTTTTTAGATTTAAGACTATTTTATGCAGCTGAAAATGCTGTACCACTGACTGCTAAATAATTGAAGGATTATTGAATTATAATAAGTAAAACCATGCCAGTTTGATACATACTTTTGCCAGAATCTTTAAATCTCATAGCTATTTTATTTGATCCTCAAAATTTCTTCCCGAATAGTTTCAAATGCATACCCATGTTTATAGCAACACAATTCATAATAATTAAATCTTAGAAGTGGCCTATATTATCCATCAAGTAAAGATGTAAGTAAAGAAAATGTGGCATTTATACATGATGGAGCACTACTCTGCCATTAAAAGAAGGGAAATGGACCTACTTTGAGACCATAATGTTAACTGAAATAAATGAGACACACAAGCTTAAATATTGCATGGTTTCTCTCACATAAGAACCTTAAAATATAAATAAAGAGCAAAATAAAAGATAATAGGAAATAGAGATCTTTCTCAAAAGTGAAGGGGGACCAAGAGATGAAAGCAGGGGAAAAAGGGGAAGGAGATGAAAAAAACAGAATTAAGACATGTCATGTACATGTACAACTCCCTAAGAGGAACATAATCATTATGTACTGCAAACATGGACTCATAAAAATATAAAAATTGAAAGTAAAGTTCTTATGAGATGGGTAGAAAGGCATCCCTGCAACAGACCTTTAGAAAGGTTATTTCCTTAACTTGGTCCCATAAGAAGTTAGTGGCCAAAAAATGATCAAATCCATTTCTCTATCACTGTTCCATTCCCTACTAACACGACTTAAAATCTTGTGTAAAACACATACATCAAAAATGTCATGGTAACTATCCATCCATGTCAGTACTTTCCTATAATAAGTTTACTGAATTTTTATTTAAAGTTTGCATAGCGTAATGATTAAAACATGGACTCTGGAGCCAGACAGCTTAAATTCTATTCTTAGCTTTCCCACTCAGTAGCTGTGTGAATGTGGGCAATTAACTTATTTTTTCTGTTTCTCAACTGTAAAAGAGAGATAATAAAAGAACCTACCTTATAGGGTTAAGATGAAAATTAGTATTTGTAAAACACTTCGAATCAGCCTAACGATAAACTATATATACAGGAACAGTAGTTTAAAACCTATTTTTCACTATTATTAATTTACTAGCAAAATGGAAGAGAATATAATAATACATATAAAATGCTCTTTAAGGGTCAGGAAGTAAAAACCACAATATAAACTGAAGTGCTACTTTACCTAGGTTGTGTAAAAAACTAAAAAGTTCTATAAGTATATTCAATGAAAGGAATTTTTATAATCTCTAATATTTTATTATGTATCTATATAAAGGTGGATATCTTGAGGAAACATTTAAATTGGGTAAACATGAAGATATAGAAAACGCACATGAGCATTGTAATGCTATTGGATGATCTTGGGACATCTGAAAAGTACATGCAAGAAATTACATAGAAAAGATATTGTATAAAATGAAAAAGATGTATGTAGATCTTTAGTAGATTTAAATCTAACCAACTTTCTCACTGAAGCATTAAATCAGTTAAAACATAAGTTACTTCTTAGATAATCACTGCGAGTAGTTTGATATCTTTTACAGGCTGAAACGCGATGCCCTAAATATATATGCTAAGTCCTCACCTAATCCCCAGCACTTCCGAATGGGACTGCATTGGAAACTGGGCCTTTACAAGGTGAAAGGTAAACTGGTTTTAGGGCGGGCTCTCAAGAGTGCATGAGAGGTCTCTGTGAAAAAGGAACTAGGGAACCAAGACGCACACGGGAAAGACTGGAAATGAAGTGAGAAGACAGCCAGCTACCAGCCAAGAGGCCCGGGGGAAAACAAACCACACTGTTTACACTTTGATCTTGGACTTCCAGCTTCCAGAATTCTTAGTTATTTTATTTCTAAACTATCTTGTTGGTATCTTGTTATGGCAGCTCTAGCAAACTAATACAATACTGAAACAAATTTTTAGCAGCAGAATATTATGTGCTTACATTTCTTTCAGGAAATTTATATATGAAACATGAAACAAGATAAAAGTAAGTATTTATCCTTTTTGTCTCTACATAGCCTGGTCGGTGTTCCGAGAGACCAGGTTACATATGTGCAGTTAAACTAAATTGCTTTAGGCCTCTCATATCTCCCTTTTCTGGCTCACACTTGTCCAAAACAAGAGAGATACATACACTGTATATGGGTAAAATTGTGTACCTGGAAAATGTTATAATGCACATAATTTACACATACTCACATGAATCTATTATCAACCAAAATTGTTAGATCATTTTTTAAAAGTTTAAATTTCTGTTAGTCTATTTACAGTCAGTAAAGCCAAATAAGTAAAATATAAATCAATTTAAACCTAATACTTTAAAATTTTTAAAAGTCAGATCATTCTGGATCATACATTGTTTTATATTTGTGAAAAATTTTTATTAGGATCAGGAAGATTTAAAAAGAATTACAGAACTGAAGTGCAATCTGTGTAGCAGATAAGATCAAAGAATATCTTAATGATTTTACCTTCATTTATATGAAATCTAAACCCTAAAATGTTCAATTTGTACATTTTATGCACTTTTTCAGAGACAAAAACATCCTTCAAGAGAAGATAGATTCCCAACATTTGAACAATTATTTTTCTAACATTTCTAACATTAATATAAATTAGACTTTAAAAATGTTAAGGCAAGTTTTGCATGTAAAAGTTATCTGATGATGTTCAAGAAGCATCTCAATCAATGCCAGTTTTATACCTATTATTATTTTTTTAAAAACACAGTATTTATTTATTTATTTAATTTTGGTATCGGGGATCGAACTTTGGTCCTTGTGCTTGCGCAGCAGGCGGCGAAACCACTGAGCTAAATCCCCGGCCCTATACCTATTATTAACAAAGCAGAATATTTTCAAGCAATCATATACTCACTTTTAAATTTTATCCTATTTTATTGTATTAATAACCCTACCCTAAAAAATATTTTAGATTAAAAACAACTAAAAGTTTATTTGACAATTCAGTATTCCAATACCCTCTTAACAGTAATTCTTATTCCATTTAATGTTCTCTGTGCATTTACAATCAGATTTTTCTTTCTAGTGACTCCCATTAGTTATGTTCCTATATACCTTGCCTTTATGTTTCCAGCTTACCAATCACCCAAATGAAGAAAATAATCAAACGTGAAAAATAAATAAGTTTCCTTTAAGGAGAGTGAAAATGAGCTTTCCAATTAAAACTCATGAATCCTGTTTCTTATAAGATAATTCTATTTACACTAAGGGAAGCCTCACTTGCAAGTTGTTGGCTGTTTCACTTGGACCTTACATGTAATTTTTTATAAACAAAAGGAACACTGTATTTTCACTCCACTCCCAGTTTAACTTGCTGAAATCTATTAAACCAATCTATCTTTAACTTCTGCTCCTCCTCCCTCCTCTCACTTCCCTCTTCCTCATTTCCAGCTAACAACAAAAGAAAAAGGTCAGCAACTGTGTAGAGGAGAGGAAATCCTATATGCTGATCCCTTAGCTTGAAAGCGTTCTGTTCAAGGAAGGTTCTGTGGTGTAATGGTTGGCACTCTAGACCTGAAAGGGTTCTGTTCAGTCCAGGGAGAAATGCAGAACAGAGAGGGGTCGAATGTTGGAGAAGACAATGGTCAATTACCATTAGCTCTTAATTAGGATTTCATTGTTTCTGGTCATTTTTTTTTTTTCAGAGAATAGTACAATGAATTACCAGATACGAATCTACCAGGTTAAAATTAAATAATGACATCAAAGCAGTACCAAGTTTTGGATTATTTATACCAATTTACCTTTTTTAGAATAAGTTAGAGTTGATACAAACATGTCTGAGGATGCAGTATTTGAATGTATGTTTTCATGCTTAATAAACTTTATATTAATCACCTTTAGTTTACACTGTAGCTGCTTCGTTTCTAAATCCATGCTCCTTGAGGAGCCCAGTGATGTAACTGGTATATGTGGAGCTGCTACCTTGGCAACTTCTTCTGCCAAACTTGTGATTTCATATGAGGACTCCAATTTTTTAAGTAGATCTTCATTTTCTTTCCGAACCCCAGCCAGATCCAAATTTAGCTTCTTAAAAAAAGAAAATAAATATAAGAGTAACTACAGTTAATCCAACAGTTGTCAGCATAAAATTCTTTAGGTAGGAAAATGCCAAGGAAAATAATTATTATAAGAATTTACAAATATTCTACCCTCTCTATTAGCTTTTGCTAAAGTTGTAGAGCTTATAAAGTTAAACAAAATGAAGCAGCTATATCCAGTATCTTTAGGTTGGTTGGTCTTTATTCATATCAAACTATTTCTTCCCCTTTACATATACATGGATGAGTCAGAGATTCATAGATATGATAACTCTGACTTCAGGTCTAATGCACTTAACTTGGTAAAAGCCAAGCTGGAGCAGGACAAGATAACAGATGTTAGTTGTTTATTCCACTGGGTAGGTCTTATTACCTTATATAGAAGCCAAAATATTCCCATTTAGCAACATAAATGTTCAGTCCAATTAGCAGATGAGGCTTGTTAGGGATTTAGTTCAAGTAAATAGCATGCAAACAAACTTGCTCAATTTTATGTACTTGATCGAGAGTTGACAACTCTTATTTATAACGTGGAGGTAAAACTGCACTAAATTCCTAACATCTGAATTCTTTTTTTTGGTACCAGGGATGAAACTCGGGACCTCGCGCTTGTGAGGCAGGCACCAGAACCACTGAGCTAAATACCCAGCTCTGAGTTTTTAATAATATACATATTTGCTAAATGACATACTACTAACACTTTCATAAAGGAGTGTAAAAGAAACTGTCTCAATGTTAGCCTTAAGCCTTCATCTGTAGGCAGCAGAATGTCACCAAACTGTGACAGCATAGTGACTCAGAGCTCCTCAAGAGGGTAAATGCATTACTGCTACTATAAAGAAGCATATAATATGGTGTCTAACATAAGGGACCAGTAAACAAAACAAAACTTAAATCTCTGGGAAGGGAAAAGAATCTTTGTTATGATTACTATTAGGTACAGCAAAAGATGCAGCTAAAGTACACAGTAATACAAACATGAGATATATTATTTAGGTATTAATACTATAAACATAACTTCTAGAAACTTTCCCAATAAAACCACAATTAAATGTTTCTGTATATGCATGTGGTTAAACATGAATATTTCAGGCCATGAATTAGAAAGTAGGGCTTGATATACTCTTGAAATAAGAATATGTTTTGATAAAAAAGCTATTTCTTTGACTATATTTTAGCTGATGATCTAGAAGTATAGCTTTAAAGACTTGCATGAAATATTTATTCATGAATTGTTCCAAGTATACCAAACAGTTAATATCTAAAAATGAACTCATAATTTCCCTAAATATGAAAATCTTCTTGGTTATCATCCAAACTTGAATCTACCTTCCTCCCTACTTTTTTTTAATATATGTTCAGTCAGTTGTCAGGTTCTATAAATTATGTAATGTTTCCCACTCCTTTCTGCCATTCTTCATGCACACCCTATTATCTCACTGATACTATTGGAAAAACCATCCTTCTCCCTACTCCTTTTCTTACCTCCATACCACTTTTTATACAAGTTCCTCAAACGGTACTGACCTGTAAATCCCTCCTTCAAAGCCCTTCAGGGGTTCTTCAACCCAACAATAAAGCTCAAATGTGTGTGGGTATTAAAGCTTTCTAACATTTGAGGTTCAATTTGTTTTTCAGTTAAATACGACCTGAAGTCAAACTTGTCTGCCATTCCCCAAATCTGCCTGCCATTTTCCATCTATGACTTTACACACAGTGTTTCTTTCACCTGAAGCATCTCTTATCTTTAAAAGGGTAATATTTTCTTCTTCACAAAGCCTTTTTTCCTTTGCCTCACCAAAGTAGCTTCTCCATTCCCTTAGCTTCCACAGAAGTATGCGTGTTATTTATCCATAAACCCTGGTTAATTTAAATCCTTGAGAGAGGATGATATTTTTGTCCACTAAAATGCTTACCATAGTACAGTATCTGAAAACAACTGCCTTACATATAAGATCCAAAACAAAGGATTAAAAATTTAAAATTTCTATCTGTAGTCTATATGGTGCTATAAAGACACACATCATTGCAGCTTTTATTCACATTTTATTAATTTATTACCATATAAGTTAAAATGTATTTTATTAATAATATTTGATAAGCTTTTCTTGTACATATGTACCAGAGCATGTCTCAATTTTGATGTTAATGTTCTGCATCTGTATTAGACTTTGTGAAATTTCAATTTTGTAGCCAACTCATCGCCATAATTATAGGCAGAATCCCCAGCAACACAGGAGACTAAAATTTGATGAGGCTCTTTCTTTCCTATGAATAGCCCCAGGTGGCTTCTCTCACTTGTTGTACTTGGATGCTACTATATTTCTGCCAATTTTATCCATGCCAGCAGATCCTAAAACTATAAATGTGTCTCTACTGAGGAAAGACCAAGCCAATAAATACATTTTTTCTAAAAGGCATGCATATGTAAATTTCAACTTCAATGTAACAATATAAAAATATAAAAGAAGAAACCCTGAAATTACAAAAAGCATTTGTATTTTATCAAAATATAATATTTTGATTAAAAGGTTCTTAAATCTATAACCTTTCAAATATTTCTAACAGTACATATATAATTATAATATTATATACATGTATGTATAGGAATGCTGCAGAGTACCTGTTAAAATAGGGGAATATGTAGATAATTTATCCCATCAGTTTCAAATCCTTTGCTTATTCCTTGGAATGCTTGGATTAATAACTTAGGTTCCATTACTAACTTTTCTTAGTTTAGGTTTTTTTCTTTTGTTCTCTCTCTCCCTCCCTCCCTCCCTCCTTCCCTCAATTCCTCTTCCTTTCTGTCTTCCCTCCCTTCCTCTCTCCTCTCTCTCTCTGTCTCTGTTTCTTTCTCCCCCACCCTTCTTTCTTTCATACGGGGATTGAACCCAGAGCAAGACTTCTCCTTCTCATCTCAGAAATGTTATACATGACACATGAAGTATAAATAACTTCTGCTTGCTCACACTTGGTTTGGCTGCTTTTGTGGATGACCTTATCTACTAAAAATTGTGTTGTACGCTGCCTGCCTCGCAAATACAAGGTCCTGAGTTCAATCCCCGGTACCAAAACAAAAATTGTGTTGTAAAATCTACCAATAAATTAAGAATACTCTTAAAATTGTTAATATTTTTGTTTTATCCAGGAACATGGTTCTTATTTTTCTATTATTATTTCCATCTTTAAATATCTAGAACATTTAAGTTACATTATATTTAAAAGAAAAAGAATTATGATTTCTAGATTCTAATTCTCTGAATCTATTGTGGGACTCTTTTGTTTTTGTTTTTGTTTTCTGAGAAAGGATCTCACTATGTAGCTCATTTTGGCCTCGAACTCATGGCAATCCTTCTGCCTCAGCTGAGTGCTGAGTGCTGGGATTACAGGTGTGTGCCACCACACCTGGCTTGAATCTATTAATTACCAGTTGAGTGACCTAGTGTAAGTGTGTGACTGTTTTCCCTGTTAAAAAACAGAGATGATGCTTGCCTACCTAGCAAAAGTAGTTCTGAGCACAAAATTTTTAAGATATCTGTGACAGTACTGGTAGATTTATTTTATGTGCAGCATGATGGGTACCTTTATTTGTGGTAAATTATAGTCTGAGACAAGTCTTATAAACTGAGGACAATGATAAAAAATATTGTTTAATATAGGGATATAATAATCCTATAACCATAACAGAAACGTTATTTTGCCTTAAAGAATAGCTACTTACTTGATTACAACCAACTTAGGATCCTTACCGGGCTACCTGCATATTGACCTATACTCACTTTTAACCCTATATTTCCAACCCACAGTCTTCTAAAAGTCTATTTTAATCTAAAAGTCGATCTCAGAATCAGTGCTGAGATTTGTTTTAATTTATGTATGGTCAATTATTTCTAACCAAAGATTACAAAATAGAACATTTATAAAAATTTAAAACTAGAAACTTCTATTTATTTATTTAAATAGAACATTGGGATAGAATGTGAGCCCTAGATGTAACTGTTATATGAAGTAAGCCAGGTAGAAAAAGACAAGTACTGCATGACCTCACCTGCATGAGGAATAGTAAACAGTAGATCTCATAGAGGCTGAGGTAGAATAGTGGCTGCCGGAGGCCCCGGGAGAGATGGGGGATAGAAGGGTGGGGAAAAGGAGATTAATGGGTGCTAAGCTGTAGTTAGATGAGAGTTAGGAAGTTCTGGGATGCAATTGCACAGTATGAAAATTACAGGCAACAATAATGTACAATGTATTTTAAAAAGCTAAAAAGTATATGGTAAATACTTGAGTAGATATGTTTAACTTCATTTAAACATTAAACAATGTGCATAAGTATTAAAACATTACATGGTACCCTGTAAACACATGTACAAGTTTATGTTTTTATGTACCAGTTAAAATTTTTCAGTTTACATATAACATCGAAGAAGAGTAAGTCTAAAAAAGAAAGAACATTGCAAAAAATTGTAAGGAGAAACAAGACCATACATACAGAAGAATTTGCATGTATGTGTATGTGTGTGTGTGTGTGTTATTGGGGACTGAACCCAGGGCTTTCACATGGAGCTATCTGTAAAAATTTAAAAGCCCTTTTAAATAATATAATAATTCTAAAAGAATTATTTCCCTAATAATTGCCCAAACAATATAGTTTTGATACCCTCTGATAATGATTTTTCTAAAGAACAAAGTATTCAATATATGACTATCCAATGGACATGACATTAGCTGTCATTCCTGTAAAAAATGCTTTTGTTATTCGCATGCTTTAGGAGCAGCACTCCAAAGCAAAAGAATAGGATGGAATAACTCTTCACCTCTACTAAAAGGATGATTCTGACCTACCACCTTTTTTTTCTGGACAGTAACTACCCTTTAGCAGTCAAAGGTACAGTTTACCTTTCCTTGTAAATTTTATGTCACTAGACTAAAAACTTAAACTAATGAATCTTTTTAAAATTTTGGAAAATATTTATTAATTGGGGAAGTAGG